GCCGCCACAGCCTGCGGCAGCCATGGTGACGCCCCGCCCCGCCCCGCCCCGCCCAGGCACTGGAGCTGGCGCGCGGCGATGATGTAGCCGTGCGCCGGGCGCGAGACTACTGCGCTACTGGAAACCCGCCCCCCCATTAGCGGCCACCCCCAGGGGGGCGCGAGCATGGAGTCGCGGTGGCAGCGCGCTGAGGACGCGGTGCGCTACCAGCTCTTCTTGCTGCCGCCGGGCGCCGAGCAGGGGGAGGGCGCGCTGCTGCGCTGCGCCGAACAGGTCCTGGCCCGCCTCGCGCCGCTGCTCGTCTCCTACTTGTGGCAGCGCGAGCCCTTCCGCTTGCGCGCCCGGCCCGCGCGAGGTACGGCCCCGCACCGCTCTCCTGGGGCCGCCGCCGCGTTTCCCCACGCGGGAGGCGGCTCTGCATACGGCCCCCCCTCTCCGGCACGGCGTAGGGTTGCTCCAGCTCCAGCCGGGCCGTGCAGTGGCTGTTGAGGTATCGCTGCTGCTCCGGGCTGGAGCAACCACTGCTCTGTGCTGCCCTCGGCTGCAGTGGGGCCGAAGCCCTGCCGGAGTGGGGCAGCGTGGCGGGTGGGGGCAGAGGCAGTGGGGAGCAAGCAGAAGCTCTCACGGTAACCCCAGCTCCGGGCTGGAGTCGGAGCTGTAGCTGCCACCTGCCCTTCCACTGGCTTGTACTCCAATCTAAGACAAGGGGCTTCCCCCTACCCCCCGCCCCATGTTAGAGGGAAGAAAACCTGCCTTGGATTTGAGTAAATATGGTTTGATTCGCTGAACTACTGCTGTAATACTAATACTAAGCCTTCAATCCCCATCCCCCCAACCCCTTGTGAAATTATGTGAAGGGAACATGGTTTGGACTGAGGAGGAGGTCACTCAATTTCTGTTCTTTGTTTTTTGTCCAGATGGTGTTCCTGCACATATTGGGGGTGTGACTGAATTTGGAGATAATATTGAAGATGAATGGTTTATTGTGTACCTCCTACAGCAGATAACAAAAGAGTTTCCTGAGTTAGTAGCAAGGTATTCTTAACGAGGCAAACTCGATTTTATTATTTTTTGGTGAAACTATAACCTGAGTCCTAAATCAGTTTTTTTCTTAGAGATAGCTGTTGCCACACTTACCAGGATAGTGCAAAGGGACTGGGTTAATAATCCCCATTCAGCATGTACTAAACTTTTAGACCTGTGCTTTAGTCTCTTTAAAGTTAAAGCTAAGTATGTGCTTTGTTACAAGGCCTGAGGGAGGATACTGATTTTTGTGTTTTGAATTTCAAAGACTCTAATTGTTACATAACAACAATTTGTAGCCTTTCTTCAGGGAGAGATGGACTAGATGTGCCATCTAGGGTGATGATAATGTGTATAGTGCTTGATGTTTCACAAACTTCATAGGTTGTTTTATATTCCTGTAATCTTGTTCTTGAATTTTTGGAAAAATTGTACAATAATATTCTGACCTCTTCCTAATATAAGGCTCAAAGTATGGCTCTCATTCTTGCTAGCTGCATGACTACAGAACATTTGCACTGAATTAAGTGAATTTATACAAGTCATGGAAATACTAGTAGATTCACATACAAGAATGTGCAAAAAAAATCCTAAAACTTCAACAGTCTGAGGAAAAAATTGTTTGCCCTAAAAAAATTAAATGGCTGAAATCATTAAATATATAATAGTTTCTGTCTTTGGTTTGGAGGATTTACAAAGGAATAAAAAGAAAGAAAAGATAATGGAGCTTTCTGTTACTGAAGTAGTAAATTATTTAGAATAGTTTGTTGTTGTGTTATGCAGAGTCCTTTCTAATAAAAACCTAATTTTGGGTAGGGTTGATGACAATGATGGTGAGTTTCTATTGATAGAAGCAGCTGATTTCCTTCCGAAATGGTTGAACCCTGAAAATAGTGCCAATAGGGTAAGTAAAATTTTCATACAAATTAACTTACTGGTGTATTGAGTTCAGTGCAGTACCCTCTTATTTAATAGGCTTAAAAGTAAATTCCAACTTAGAACAAAAATAAAACTAGTTAAGCAGCCTTATTTTTCTTTCTTCTGTCACAAATCCACAACTGGCTCTTGCTTGTAAAGAGTCTGAGTCATCAGCTTTGATCATGGTCTAGCATAGGGGTTGGCAACTCCTGGCACACATGCCAGAGCATAGTACTCAAAGGCATTTTGCTTGACATGCATGCCTCAGGGCAGATGGTGGGGGAGCCACGAGGGGCCCTATCCTTGTGGCAGCGGGGCTGCTTGAAGGTTGTATCCAGCTTGGGAGATGTCACAGCTCAAGCTTCAGCTTAGGACATGGCATGGTAAAATCACAGCAGCTCCAGTTCCCACCATGTACCCTGTGCTGGATCCAAAGCTTCTACCGCATGCACCATACCGTGATGGCATTTCTTAGCTCTGGCATGAAGCAGCAATGGGGCTGGCAGCCATGGAGCTGGGGCTACAGCAGTGGAGACAGGCAAAGCAGCTGGAGGGTTTCTGAGGCTGTATCAGCCCTTGCTCACCCTCCTTCCACTAACTACCATATCCACTGGGGCCCAAAAGCCATGGATGCTGCAACAGGCCAGACCCTTCATTTGCCAGTGGCCCACCTATAAGCTGGTGGGCTGGAAGCAACACCATGAACTGAACCTGTCCCATAAGCCGTATGTTTGACACCTGTAATTTAACAGATAACTTATTAGTCTAAATGCAAATGTGCTCCTTTCTGATGTGACTTTTATAATTAGGTGTTCTTTCGCCGAGGAGAATTGTGCATCATCCCACAATCAAAGACTTGTGAAGAGGAGCCTGACTCCAGTCCAACAATTCCCCAGGTCTTAGCACTGTTATCTGCACATTCAGAGGAGTTCCTGGCTGCAAAATCTATTAGAACAGCAGTCTATAAACGTATAAGTTGGTGAGTGGACTGTTTGCGGTTTTTTGGGGAGGGAAGGATGGGGGTTGATGGTTCTTTAAGTGAATGCTTTGATTCTGGGTTGTCTAGGGCATTTATTTCCTAGTATCTAATCCATTTTCTTGTCAACTACAATGAGATTTGCCACTTTTCCAATAACTAATAGCTAGACTTTTTTTCTGGGACATTCTTTCTAGTGGTAAACCCACCTGTACGCACACAGGTGGTATACTATATTCTTATTTCAGGGTGTTGAAAAACAAAGGTATAGGGCTAAAATTATATCATATGTCTGTGTGATTTGGGCTCTTCTTATTTGTTGTAAAAGGACAGCAGTGACTTGTGTCAATCTTCCCTGCTGACAGTTTGAATACTTCCATTGGTATGCCTAAAATGGTCAGCAAGGGTCACTGGGTTGGTAACAGATTCCTTCTCAGAATACTTTAGGCTTAAAAAAGACTGCAGTTAGATTCTGTTGTTTAATATTAAGGAACTGTAAGCTAGATGATTAGGCCAGTTCACAATAAAGGACTTATAAAACTGGTATAGCTAGGCTTTGAGAGGTTTAACTCTCTCCCTCCAGTTTGATAAGTATAACCCAGACTGTATGTTTGATTAGTTTTCTAATTGGAGATTCTAAAGTACAGTAAAAGCTCTGTTATCTGGCATCACCCAGGAATCGCCAGGAATGGGGGATGCCAGATAACAAAATATGCTGGTTAACTGAGTGGCCCGAACAGGTGTCCTTGCCTGTTCGGGCTGCCGCTTCTCCTGCCACGTCTGTGGCGTCGCCATCCCTCCCAGGGCATCACCACCCCTCCCGCAGGCTCTGTGGGCCCTGCAGCACAGGGAGGCGGGCCCTGCGTAGCCTGTTATGCCCCCAGGCCATGGGGGCTCAGCAGCGCAGGCTGGTTTCCCACTGATCGTGGGGGCTCAGAGAAACCAGAAGTGCCACAGTGGGCACTTCCAGTTTCGCTTTTCCTTACTAACAGAGCATACCAGCTTGTAAGGTGCCGGTTACCGGAGTTTTTACTTTAATTTGTAAATGTACGTAATGTGCACACGCATTGTTTCCCCTTTCGCTGAATATCTGCATAAAGAATGACTGGTCATGTTTGTAATATTTCTTTTCTTTTTTTTTTTTTTTTTAACATGTTATCTCGTGAAACAGGTATCCTGACAAAATCAAGGCCTCCCTTCACCAAGCCCACTGTTTCCTTCCAGCAGGCATTGTGGGAGTGTTGAAGGAGCGCCCTTCTCTGGTTGCTGCTGCAGTCGAGGCCTTCTACTTGCGAGATCCCATTGACTTAAGAGCATGCCATCCTTTCAAAATTTTCCCTCCAGACACACGTGTGATGAGTTGTGTAAGTGTTATTTCTGCTGGTAACCTATTTTCTCTGGTGACTGTGATTGGTTATGCTGTTTCTTTGATCATTGTGTTAGGAAAATGCACAGCTTTCAGTTTTAAAAACAGTACATTTCTGATTAACTTTTCTTGAAAGCATTCACAAGTTTCTACTTAGTAAGACTTAAAATTCCTTAACTACTTGTACTCACTGTGGAACTAGATTGTTAAAAGCTGATGAGTTTCTTTTCTCCAACAAAATAATTCTGAAATGATAGAAAAGCCAATTTAGAATTGCTTTATTTTGTTTCGAGACATTGCTTTTTAGTTCAGGTGGCAGTCACTGAAATGCTGGATGAAATGCACAGGTGGCCCTCAACACTTGTGATCACTGAATAATCTCACAGTAACTGACTCCATTATTCTGACCAGTTTTTTTTTTGATTGGGCATTTGGGGCATCGAAAGCTTTTCTCTGTTATTATGAAAGGATTTAAGACCAATTCCAAAACTGCAGTGATTTAGGCTTTCCCATCTGCACTCTCAACACTTTTGGTCTTCAAAGAACTGA